CCTTGCTGGCCAGCATTGATGAGACGGAGGTTGTGATATTAACTTCCACACACTCTGATTAGCTTACAGAGAAAACCCTTAGGTATAGCTTGGATTGGCACAGTACCCCGAGACCACTCATTGCAGAAATGCTAGAATTAACTGGTTTTTTAAACAGCATGAGAACACCTCTCCATGCAATTCCATCAGGGCTGGCAGCCCTTAATGAGGCTTCAACAGTGTGAGGTGCACATTAAGGTATAATCCTAACACCAGCCTGAGGGATATCTCTTCCCCACAGCTGTTCTGGGTATTTTTTTTTTTTTTCTCAGCCACCCTCCCAGTCACATCCCTTATGCAGAACTCAGGCCTGGCTGGCTCAGGGTAGACCACTGAACACCGACCCTGGCAGTTAGGGTCGCTTGTCTTTCCAGGGCCAGCTGCCCTCCCATCTGTCCGTGAGGTCGGAGGAAACGCGGAGAGCAGAAAAGGTGAAAACAATACAGCCCCGCTACTTGAAACGAACAGACAAGAGTTCCCAGTATTTCAACTGCCATTTTTGTGAGTAAAACCTAGGGATTAACTTGTGCCCTTTTTGTCTTATTGTTTCAAATGTGGATTAGAAACCAGGGGAAGTGTTTGGGATGTAACAACTGCATGAGCAATTCGGCCTGTGACTTTGTCTGAGGACAGGGCACTTGGGGGTGTTAGGTCGTGGCTGCTCTGCATGTGAGCGGGTACCTGGATGAGCTTTATGCGTACCACATGTGTGCGAGTGCCCAAGGAAGCCAGGGGCACTAGATCCCCCGGAGCGGGAGTTATAGGTGGTGGTGATGTGCCTGATGAGGTGCTGGGAATCAAACCCAAGTCAGGTCTCCGGCCCTGTGACTGGTACGTTGTTTTTTGTTTTGTTTTGTTTTTTGTTGTTGTTGTTGTCGTTTTGATTCTTTTGATTTTTCATTTGTTGGTTTTTGCCTTAAAGACTAATTACGGCCCCGAGTAAACACTGGGCATACAAGATGCTGTTGCCCAGGCCCCTGGCTGAAATTTCCAGGCATGGTGGTCTCTGGTTTCTGACTCTGCAGAATGAATTTAACAGGGAATTGTAGATCCAGATCTGTGAGTATAGAGTATTATGGGTCAGCTCTCAGAATCTTTCCATGTAAATACCCCGTGGAAAATTTTTCCCCCGCCTCACTGTTGCTGTTCTGGAGACATCAGGCTCAAAGCTCTTGACTCTTTCAGCCCAAGAATACTTCTTGGACAATGGAGTCTCCATTCTTCCTCACCCAAATCTTCTCTTCGCCATCCAGCTCCTACCCTTCATCCCTCCACCCAGGTACTGTTTTCAGTGTGATCACTACAGGAAGTCATGGAGAAGGCTGGGTTTACCCCATGCAGCAGGGCAACTAGCTCAGCACTCAGCTCCTCGACTGCCACCGCGGACCTGCACAGGTACTCGGGAAGTATTGAACAACCGAAAAAAAATATGCATAGGGGAAATCTGCACAATCACGTACTTCCGCAGTGCTTTTCATATCCCTCCCAAATGTTCTCGACATTAAAATCCTATGGTTTTGTGCGTCGAACGTCTAATGCTATGAGGGGTAGTGGTTTTGTCCTTGACTGGCATCTCTTATCCACTTCTGATTAAATATACATTTATCAAGGGCCAACAAGGCAGACACAGTCCTACCCTTCGGAAACTTGATGCAAAACCTAGCCCCAAACAAATACATACTGTGGCATCATACAGGAAGTTCGTGAGGAAAAGGAAATGGAACAATAAGGAGGTGGAAAGGGAGGGTCCTTTTATTAGGATGGTGCTGGCAAAGGACACTGAGGAAGAAAGACTGATGTAGACAGGAGATAGGGTAGTTTAAGCCATGCCAAGGTGATACTAGAGTTAAAAAATGACAAAAGTACCATGAAAAACAGAGAGGATTATATGGGATCAAAATAGTCTAGAGTTTTTAGTGCATGCTACCAGGAGCGTGGTAACTAATATATCTAGTAAACTGAACACGCATTATGTGTTTTGTGTGTGTGTGTGTGTTTGTGTATGTGTGAACCACAGCCATGTGTGGAAACAGGAGAGTCTTAGATATTGATCCTCACCTTCCACCTTGTTTGAGGCAATGCTCTTTGTGATTGTTGTTGTTTGCCACTGGACTGTGTGTGCCAGACTGGCTGGCTCAGAAGCCTCCAGGATTCTCCTGTGTCGCCTACCATTTTGCCTTAGGACCACAGAGATTACAGGTGTGCATCACTGCACTGGGTTTTTCCACGAGGATTTGAACACGGATTGTCACACTTGCATGGTAACCACTTTACACACTAAGAAATCACCCGGTCCTTTTCTACATTTATTATATTTTGAGTCTTCCAACTGAAACTGGTTGTTCAACATTCAACAGTCAGCCCTGAAAACATGAACACAGGTAACATTATATGGGCTAACAGCTATATCTAGGAATATATATATATATATATATATACATATATATATATATATATGTATATACACACACATGTATATACACACACAAATACATGCACGAATGTAATGAAGAAGAATGAGGAAGGGTATGTTGGAGGGTTTAGAAGAAGGAGGGAAGAGAGAAATGCAATTAAATTACAATCTCAAAAATAAACAACAAAAGGAAGTTCAGCTTAGCAATATTAAAAATGAATGAAGTAGACTTTAAAGCCAGAGCAGTCATTACAATCAAGAGGGCCATTACACAACAATAGGGTTAGCCCAGCATGATGACATAATTCCTAACTTATAATGTATTTGACAACAATAGAGTCAAAATATACACAGCAGAAATACACAGCTGGAGAAACAAGCTAATCTAAAAACACAGTGAGGCCTTCTAGAAGGTGACAGGAAGAGCATAAAGAAGCCAGAGTAGAAATAACTGAAGATTTATTTGAATTGCATGAGCAACAAGGGTACCCAATGCCTTTTCTGCTTTGTAACTTTGAACCAAGGTCTTTGTCAGATCCACCAAGGCTCATTTGTGAGAACGGCAAGACAAATGGAGTTCTGTGTTCCACATACCTAAATATGTTAGCATAATAAATCAAGCTAAGACACTGTCAAGATATGCTCTTCCTTCCTACAGTGATGAATGGACCTGGGCAAAAGAAATATAATACTATCATTAACACATGACTAAAAATATCAAAGATGGCAGAATATTAAAGATGATAATATTTAATTATTATGGTCCATATCCAGATGTCCTGCTGTCCTGTTGGGCATGTTTGAGTAACAAAATTAAGAGAGAATAAGTCATCAGTGATTACATATTTATTTAAAAAAATCTAATACCTTTATATTAGTAAGCCTCTCATCTTAAAGAGATTTTAATTTAGCTAATACATTCTGATAGTAATGATTTAAAAGATAAAAGTAACATGTAATTACCCTCCAGATGAATAAGTTTTATTTTATTATTAATTTTAATATCCTGACTGCAATTTCCTCTTTTCATTCTCTTCCCAGTCCCTCCCTCCACCTCCCCTCTGCACCCCCTTCCCTGCCTACTTCTCCTCTATTCCTCTTCAGAAAAGGGTTGGCCTACCATGGATATCAGCCAAACATGGCATACCAAGTTGCAGTAAGACTACGCTCGACTATTTAAGGCTTGATTGAGGTGACACAGCAGGAGAAAAAGGGTCCCAAAAGCTGTCAAGAGTCAGAGACAGGCCCGGATCCCACCGGTAGGAGTCCCACAAGCAGACCGACCTACACAACTGTAACATATATGAAGAGGGCTTAGGTCAGTCCCATGTAGGCTCTACAGTTGTCAGCTCAGTCTCTGGGAGCCCCTAGGAGCCCAGGTTAGTTGCTTCTGTACGTTTTCTTGTGGGATGAAAGAGTTTTGACGTATTTTATTTAAAAACAAAACAAAACAAAAAGCTAGTTTTTGCTGCTTAAAATGTAATTTTTCTTTGAAAAGTTTCGTTATTACATATTAAAATAAAAAGAATGATACAAAGTAATTAGTAAATTTTAAATTTTCAAATAAAAATTCTTAAGTAAAGCTGAAATTTGATTTCTGAAAATTTTACTTGGTTTTGTAAAAATTAAACTTGCTTTTATTTGAGAGATGCAGGGCAAGGGATGTAGAGAACCGCTTTTCTGGGGGAGACTGCTGATGTTACGGTAAAAATGAGCATTTAGAGTAACAAATTTCAGATGATAGTGTCCACATCCAGCATGCACTTATGATGGTCTAAAAGCAATAGTGATTTTAACCAACGCAATAAGGCAAGAAAAAGAAGAGAAAGGCAAAAGAGTTGGAAAGACACAAATAAAGACAATGTCAAAGGTGGTAGCCAATATGACTGTACATGTGCGTAGAGAGAAATCATACAATTATCTCAAATAAGTTACTTGAGTTACCATAAATAGCAAATCAATTGCCATATACTAACAAAAACAAAATAAAATTTATTGCACTTAAGATATCACAAACTGTGTCTAGAAATGAACTTAATTAATAATTTACCTGGCTTCTACACAGAGAATTGTCTTATTCAGAGAAAATGAAGCTATTTAGATCAAAGAAAGGGCACAAAATATTTATGAACAGAATGTGTTATAAAGAAGCCATTTCTAGAGAAATTGTAGGCTGAACTTAATCCTACTTAAAACTACCAGACACTTTGAAAATTGACAAACTAACTTCAAATGTATGTAAAAATTTCAAAAGGCCAAGAAAGTTCTGAAGAAAAAAGTTTATGAATGTGTACTAGGGGTTGGAGAGATGATGGATCAGTGGTTAAGAGGACTTGCTGTTCTTTCAGAAAACCCACGTTTGGTTCTTCGCATCCACATGGTCACTTACAACTCTCTGTAACTCCAGGTCCGGAGGATCTGATGCCTTTCGGGACCCCAAGGACATTGCCTACATGTGGTTGAAAGACAAACACGCAGGCAAAACGCTCATACACATAAAATGCGAATAAATAAAATGTATAAAAAAGAATTTTCAGAAGAACCCGACATGGCGCTCTGGACAGCTGAGCCAACTGTCAGTCTGACAGGGCCTAGTGTCGCCGCCATGAAGAAGGTGGTTCAGCAGCTCTGGCTGGAGGCCGGGCTCAACTGTGTGGTTTCCCAGGCAGCTGCAGACTTGAAACAGTTCTGTCTTCAGAAGGCTCAGCATGACCCTCTGCAGACTGGAGTGTCTTCAAGTACAAATCCCTTCAGACCCCAGAAAGTCTGCTCCTTTCTGTAGTCATACATCTTGAGGTTTCTCAAACCACTTTTCATGAGCCGGTGAATATTGAAGACAACTAAATTTGAAGTCTGTACAAAAGCTTCTCCATCGCATGTGCCGTGATACACTACAATCTTCTACTTGTCTGTCCTTAACATCTACCTCTCTGAATTTTCATGGATTTCTATTTTACAAGGTTTAACTAATATCCCAATTTCTATTATGATTAAGCTAGCATGGTATCCACACAGGGATATACAGCTTGAGAAGCCAGAAACAGATTCCTATCTGTCCACACTATCAATTTATGATAAAGGAGAAAGTCACAGTGAGGAAAAGCTAGTTTTTTCCACTACATGGTGGTAGGTCAATCTATCTCACTTCACAAAGTTCAGCTGCAAGTAGATTACAGACCTAAATGGAGGAGGCAAGGCCTCACATCAAACAAGACTGAATAAGAAAATAACTACCGAAGAAGGGGGGATAGAAGGACATAGAAGGGACAGGAGCCCCTCAAGGAGATCAACAAAGCTAAAAATCCTGAGTTCAGGGGTTCCTGCAGAGACTGATGTACCAACCAAAGACCATGCGTGGAGAGGACCTAGACCCCACTGCTCAGATGTAGCCTACTGGCAGCTCAGTCTCCATGTGAGTAAGAGGAGCAGGGGCCGCCTCTGTCATGAACTCAATTACCTGCTCTTTGTTTATTTGGCCCTGGTGATGTGGCCTTCCCAGGCCACAGAGGAAGAGGATCCAAGCAGTCCTAATGAGACTTGATAAGCTATGGGCAGATGGCAAAGGAGGAGAACTCCCCCTTTCAGTGGAGTAGGGGAATGGAATGAGGGGAAGAGGAAGGAAGGGAGGGACTGAAAGGAGTTGAGGGAGGGGGCTTCCATTGGGCTATATAATGAATAAATTGTAAAAACATAAAATATTTAAAAGAAACTAACTACAAAAAGTCCGATATATTGAATTACACTAAAATTATGGATTTTATTATTTAAAAAACCATCAAGAGAATGAGAAAGTTACAGTAGAAGAAAACGTCTGCAGAGTTCATGTCCCACCAAAAAATAATATTCTGAATATGCAAACACAAATCAGTGAGAAAAATATAATGTGAACACCTTACAAAACACATTCAGCTATGAAGCTAAGCAGCCATCAGATAATGTACTCGTTAAAGAAATGCAAACTAAAGTGAGAATGCAAACTAAAGTGAGAATGAAATATATCTCATGAAACAGCTAAAATAAAAAGTAGAGACATCAAATATTGACTCATGAAGCAACAAGAGTTAATAGAAGATAAACTGATTTAACTATATTCAAAACCCTTAGGTGATATTTATTAAGTTGACTGCATCCATATCCTAAGATGTATTTTGACATGTTTCAACAGAAATGTAGACAAATATATATTAGAGGACATGTGTGTCCAGAATGTTTACAGTTGTATTGTTTCTAATAGCCAAAGGTGGGAAACAACACAGGTATCAATGGGACAAAGAGTGGAGAAAACAGGGATGCCCTACAATGCAGCACTACAAGACCATGACGTGAAATGAAATAAGGTCTGAGACCTTATCAATAATGTTGAACTGAATTTAGATCAGAACATGCAGAAGAAACAAAACCAGACTCCTTTTTCTCACCCAGCATGAAAACCAGCTCAAAATGGATGAAAGACTGTAAGACCCAAGACTCTGAACCTATTACAAGAAAAAGTAGGAAAAAATATTTCAAGATATTGATATAAGTAAAGACTTTCTGAATAATACTCAAGGAAGGTAAGATATAATGCCAACAACTGATGAATGTGTGAGGGTCTCCAGTTTAAAAGACGGGGTTCAAGAGAAGAACAGAGTTGGATCCATTGTCAGGCAAGGGTTTACTGGAACTGACAAAGAGAGGTTGGAAGGAAAGCCTCAGCTTAGCCCAGGGAGAGTGGAAGGGAGGAGTGTTGTGGTAGAGGAAAGGGGTCCATGGGCACTGGACAGCACCTAAATTAGACAGAGACATCATATCTTCTCATAGCCCTGGATAAGGGGCTAGACCTAGTCAGTTGCAATGTGACAGCGGTCACTTGTCCCGCATGTCGTGTTTTTCTGTTGACGGCTTTGCTACATGGAAGGGCAATTCTCAGGACTGAGGTTGGATGAGGATTCGGCTCTTGAAGAGCCGTAGGGGAGAAAGGTTTGGGTGGGCATGGCCTGTCAGCTCTTACAGCCTCTGTGAGAAAATGCATCTGTATCCAGAGGGTCTGGGCTCTAACAGAGTGGTATGTTATGAAATTCAAAAGCTCCTGTACAATAAAGGGAATAAATGAGGGAAGAGATAGCCTACGGAATGAAAGAAAGTTTGCTTTTTTTTTTTTTTTTTTTGCCAGCAACATACTTGACAGAAGATCAATATCTAGAATGCATAAAAGAATAGAAATGTTAAATAACAAGAATTAAACAACCAGCTCAATAAATAAGCTAATGAAAAGAGCAGAAAGTTCTAAAAAATAAAATCTTCAAGTGGCCAATAAACATGAAAGAAACGTTCACCCTCACTAGCCATTATGGAAATGCAAATTAAAACTGTAATGAGATTCTATTCCACCCCAGTCAAAACAGCAGTCATTAAGAAAACAACAAATACTTGCGCATATGCAGACAAAAGCAAACCCTTGAATGCTGCTGATGGGAATGTAAACTACGCAAGTTTGGGACTGATATAGTGTTCCTCAAAAAGTGAGAGGGATTCCAAAACTGCACATCAAAGTTTATTACAGTGCTGCCCGTAATAGCTAACTCACAGAATCATCAACAGAGGAAGACATAAAGAAAATGTGGTATATATACACAATGGAATTATTTTAGCCATAAAAAAACAAAGTTGTGTTGCTTTTGGGAAATTTTGTGGAACGGGAAAGAGTCTTGGTAAACAAATTAACTCAGTCTGAGAAAGACAAGGATTGGGGTTTTTTTTCTTTTTCCTCTCACGTGGGTCGTAAACTTTTATATAGAAATATAAAAACCGTATGTGTATAGATGACATGAGAGTAGGAGAGTGAATAGAACTACTGGGAAGGGGAGCAGAGGAAAGGGAGTGGGACATGGAGGAGGAATACACACAAAGAAAATGTACTTAGGCATCTGGCACACGTCTGTAATCCCAGCACTCAAGAGAGGCAGAGGCAGAGGCAGGCAGATCTCTGTGAGTTCAAGGCCAGCCTGGTCTACAAAGTGAGTCCAGGACAGCCAAAGCTACACAGAGAAATCTTGTCTCAAAAAAAAAAAAAAAAAAAAAAAAAAAACCAAATAACAAAACAAAAACAAAAACAAAAACTTCATCAAGTGGCAATTAAACACAATGAATAGTAGGTGAATGACAGTTCAATGGAAAGCTGAAAGGGACATGGAGACTGTTTGATGACGCAGGGTGGAAAAACACTCCTGATTGTTACAGGTGGACACGCAAGTTCAGTTTTTGTACATTTGAAACTTTTCATTACAAAAGGAACAACAGTAATTTGTTGAACAAACAGTGTTTGTTGAGTCTTACAACAGCCGTGTGATGATTTTCCAGCCTTCTTCTTTCAAATTAGATTTTCTGGCTTTATTTGAAATATACAGACACCGTTAAAACTGTCCCTTAGGGAAAACAATTAAGATGCTACATTCTAAAGGCTTTTCCTAGCACCTGGTCTCTGCATCTTAGGTTAGTCTCCAGCCGAATGGCTTTGGGGCTATCACTGTAAGTACCTCTCAGCCCTCATTCTGCCCTGTATTCTTGCTTTATGACACTGGAGAGGGGCTCCACAAATTTACTTTTCTTTACCTTCTGGCCTCCTGGTTCTTTTAAAAATGGGATGCTTTGATAGTCTGCAGGGCAGAGCCTTTCAGAGGCCCTCTGTGGCAGGTTCCTAGGTTGTTTCCTGTTTTCTTCTTCTTCTGATGTCCATCCTCTTTGCCTTTTGGGATGGGGATTGAGCATTTTAGTCAGGGCCCTCTCTCTGGATTAGTTTCTTTATATGTACAGATTTTAGTAGGTTTATCCTATGTTATATGTCTATATGGGTGCATATATACCATGTGTGTCTTTCTGCTTCTGGGACAGCTCACTCAGGATGATCCTTTCCAGGTCCCACCATTTACTTGCAAATTTCATGATTTCCTTATTTTTCATTGCAGAGTAATACTCCATTGTGTAGATGTACCACAATTTCTGCATCCATTCTTCAGTTGAGGGGCATCTGGGTTAGACTTATGGCCAACTGTTGGGCAGAGTGCATGGAATCTTATGTAAGAAGTGGAAAATAGTAAGATCTGGAGAGGACAGGAACCCCACAAGGAGAGCAACAAAACCAGAAAATTTAAACACAGGGGTCTTCCCAGAGACTCATACTCCAACCAAGTACCAGGCATGGAGATAACCTAGAACCCCTGCAGAGATGTAGTCCATGACAGTTCAGTGTCCAAGTGGGTTACATAGTAATGGGAACAGGGACTGCCTCTGACATAATCTGATTGGCCTGCTCTTTGAACATCTCCCCCTGAGTGGGGAGCAGCCTTACCAGGCCACAGAAGATGACAATGCAGCCACTCCTGATGTGATCTGATAGACTAAGATCAGAAGGAAGGAGAGGAGGACCTCCCCTATCAGTGGACTTGGGGAGGGGCATGCGTGAAGAAAGGGGAGGGAGGGTGGGATCGGGAGGGGAGGATGGAGGGGCTTATGCGGGGATACAAAGTGAATAAAGTGTAATTAATAAAAAAAAAATGGGATGCTTACAGGAGAGGAGAAGCCTATAAGAGGAAGCAGGAAGGTGGGATTAGTTCTGTGCTTTTTACTTCCTGTGCATTTATTTCCTGTTTCCTGAGCCTTTCTGTTTCACCCCAGGGGTGACAGTGTCTCTTTGCAGCAGCTGAATCAAGTGCACAGATTTTCTAACACTCACGGGAGCGGTTTTATCACTCTGTGCTGTAAACACTAGCTGAGCCATTGGCTCCTCTGAGTTTTTTGGTTTTAGTAATTCTAGTATCTTCCTTTTG